TGAGATGTGTATTATATTTAAATGGACAGATTTTCTATGGTCAAAACATAACAGCTATTAATCGGACTATATATAAGGTAGATTCAACCGGTTTTTAGCATTGGCTCCCAGTATACTACCTGAAAACGGGAAACCGGTTTCAAAACTAAGCGTTAACGTAAAACTTACTACGTTTTCAAAAAGTAAAACACGTATTGAAGTCTATAACTGGTGTCGGTCTGACACGTACATATCTCGCGTTCCAGTTTTATCCGCAGATAAAAAAATTGAAGTTCCTGTTCAGATTTCGCATTTGGGAACCATTGGCCTAAAAGATGGTTTTTAGACGATCCAGTTTCCACTTTCCACGGATATGTTTTTGCATCGCAGAGACGGAGACTCACAGTCACAGTATGATATGGTACATATATCACCAGTGCCAGAGAATGCGAACGAGTCGTCACAATTCACTATTTTTTAGCCCTTATTTACCCCACGAATGATTTGTTTTGGCCCTTAGCTGTTTGTCGGAATCAAAAGACCGGAGAATTCAGCCCGAAAACGAGCCAAGAAACACATTGATCGGACAATAGACCCAGGAATGGTAGATGTTTGAAGTTGCAACTTCTATAGTATGAAGTTGTAACTTCTATAGTAAGCGTGTACATAAACTCACAATTGTGCTAGCATAGTAGTTGCAAAGCCATTATGGTACGCAACGTTTTAGGCTTAACACACCCTCAGCGAGAGGCGGATAACCGCCCACAAAATGCACGGGATGTACATGTTGATAGTTATAGTGAAAGTCATTCACTAGATGCACTCAATGAAAGTTGTTTTTCACGATTCCACAAAGATGAACACTTCAAGGGCGAGTTGGTAGGCGTTAGAGGGAACAGACGCAAGTCTAGTACCAACGGGAGTGCTAATGTTAGTGGTGATGGTGACTCTGCTGACGACGAGTGCAACAGACGTACTAGTAGCAGTACTAGTGTTAGTGATGGTAGTTCCTCTGATGACGATGAGCGCTAGTAAGCTATGTCAAGGACCAAGGGTTTACCTGGTTGCCGTGGACTCTACGGGGCGGGGTGGGGCCTCGTAGGCAAGTGAACAGTGTTAATGAACCCCTAGCCCCAAATCAGACTAGCCTTTTTTTAAATAAAATTTTATTGAATGAAATATTCATAAAAAATCCGTCTGTACTTTTGAAATACTGTTGGAAGTGCAATTCTGGTTTTGAATCTGTTTTGACAGTTTCTATCCTGATAATTTACCTTGTGGATCGAAACTAAAATTTATTCCTGAAAAAAAACTATATACTTCATGCAGTCCTAACTTTTGATGAGTAAGCCATCTAATAAAAATTGGGATTTGTGAATGTAACGAGTCGTCACATTTCATTTTGATTCTTTTCTTTGTACCAGTTCTGGTACAAACTATTTCTGAGAAAAAATCCTTACCGAGTGCATTTTGGTAAAATGTGAGGACTCGTCACATTTTGTTTTGGCATTGGTGATATGTAGAGCTCGTATCGCGTAGTTTCAATGTACAAAATTGGGTCCAGAACTCCAAATTGAATGTATTTATCTCGCCAGGGCCCAAAGGTCTCGGGTAAGGGCCAACAACAGAGGGGTGAGCCGATGGGGAGGGAGTTCAAACCAAACTTCAAATTTCAATTCCAAAATCCAAATATTAAAAATTACAGGTAGTTAAAAATTAATTTTTTTAAGTAAATACCATTTTACTAAAAGCAGCATTTTTTTTTATATAGGTTTATTTAACACACACAGAGTCACAGACAGTGGCCATTTTTTTTTTTAAATGGAACATGTAGTCAGTAAATAAATATTGTATTTTTATAAATACATATTTAAATATGTAAATATACTTATTGTGTTTTGTTTTATATTTTGTTTTTAAAAAATAAAAACAAATACTCTCATGTCTCGGGAGGGTGGACGGCTCACGGGCCACGGCTAGACGCCAAAATGTGATCCTCAAGAGTCTCTCAAGACTCAAGAGTCGTAACCAGATTTCAATACGTGTTTTACTTTTTATGAAAACGTAGTACGTTTACGTTAACGATTAGTTTGCTTTCCCGTTTTCAGATAGATACTGGGAGCCAATTCCAAAAACCGATTTTGTTTGGATCTACCTTATATAGCCCAATTAATAGCTATTGTGTTTGACAATAGAAAACCTGTCCAACTATAAAACAACACAACAAATATTTTGGTGAAAAATATGAGGGCGGGCACAAACCCAGACTCCTATAGCGTATGAAAACGTAGTACGTTTTACGTTAACGTATCAATTTGAAAGCGTGTTTAATAGAAGTCTGGTCGTAACTTGTAAACATAAAAGAAACCAAAACAGATAAATAAAAATGGTGCTGTAGATGATAGAGAGAGATGCTGCTATGTAAATATCTTGTCATTTGAATGTGGCTCATGAGGCTATTGCTTGAGCTTCGATAAATACATACGCTGAAGCCTGAATGATATCGGCAGTTGCAGACACGCACAGGCGCTGTGTTTGGGAGGTAAACACGTATGCGGTATTAATCTTCGTTGTATCTCGGATATATCTTGGTGATCTTTAGCGATCTATATATACAATCAACATTTTAGTGCATGTGGCCTACAAATTACAGTCTGTTTCGAACGAACTTGGATCAACGTCGGTGATCGAAGCAGATCACTTCAGGAGTGATTGGGCTTGCAACAACCTTCATGTCCAAAGCTATGCCTTTTGTCAGTTACAAATCAATTGCCATAAGGAATGAATTTGGGCTTTAGCGCGGCAGTATATAAAACAATACGCACAAAATCAAGCTGATAACGTCGCGATGCGTCAGGCGTAGGTTTCCTCGGTAATTCAGCATACTACGCATCGATAATATATATGTGCACACATATATATACATATATATATAGTTATAGTTATAGTTATAGTTATAGTTATAGTTAGACAGTTATATAGTTATATATATGTGGGTGGGTGGATGTGTGGGTGTGGGTGATGTATACATGCTTATATATATATATATCTATATACGATCACTAGATTGTGCTCGTGCCGTGACTGTATAATCCTCACAGAGTGCACCTAAACATTCACGCTGAACTATATCGTACAACATTAAGTTTTTGTTGCCGATATGTAGTATAAAGTCTTTTGTCACTTTATTGAGAGTATCTTTTCCATTGCAAAGTGATCACACGTTTATTTACGCTTGTGCTCGGTATATTTGTGTGAGTCAAGAAACAACAGTATGGACCAGATGTGCGTTGCAGAGGATAACTACCGATTTTACTGAATTTGTGTGACCACTGACAATCAAAGTATCGCATGGACTGTACTCTGCTTTTGGCTAGCACTCGTCGCAATCAAACAACGCCATCGATTACGTTTGAACGCTCAAACTCTTTAAGAAACCGGTCCGGCTACTGTGTGCCGTTGCGTAAGCTAATTGCAGAATAAAATGGTTCTCCCTCATCTCATGGCACACCATATGTGCCTCTGTCTCTGTCGCTGTCTCTGCCGCTGTAGTGTATTGGCGTGTGCTTTGAACAAGTCATTGGTGGCCACATGGCCATCCCTGTGTGTGATTTGGATTGAGCTGTATGTCCCTACAAGAGTCATACCACTGCTACTATGTGTCTACCACCACTACCAATCACCTGTCAAGAAGGCTATCGCGCACTGTGTTCTGGTGTTATCCTGACTGCTACAGGCCACTGCATTTGCCTTGGTACTGTTACTGTGTAGCCTGCGGGTATTCACTCGTAGTTTATACCTGGGCGTTTCAGTGTAGTGTGTTTGTGAGCACTCCCTCTGTACACCTGGGCGTTTCACTGTGTATGATGGGTGTAAGTACGACGCAAACGTGTGCACACAACCCATATGAGAGTAACTAAGAGAGTATGAGAGAGGTAATAATAAAGATCTGACCAGTCCATGCATAAAATTCCCTTTTTTTTTTAACCTCCTCCCTGGTTCAAGCCATGTCCAATATCCACGTACAAGTTACATACACACGCCCACGTGACACGCACTCTGCCGTAATGCGCGAACGTATTGTATTGACATCATAGGAAGAGGCAGACACAGAATATTCTTTTCAATCTAGGAGGTTATGAACATTCCCAATGACTCGCCTACAGTTTGGCGCAGGTTTTAGCGTACCGTCGAATGATGATGTACTTCAGCCGCAGCAAACCATCAGAGCACTCGCGAGTACGCATGGCATGAGGTACTGTCGCACAATCCACACTCATATCTCTGGCAGAGACAGTGTTGCATACTAGTTCTATAACACGTGGTAGGGTTTAGGGGTTTTGTGCTCCGCGTAACCATAGCAACCATAGCCGAGATCGCATGCTCTGTGTTAGTACTTCTCGCAATCGCCATGTCAAGAAGACAAATATCAGTGCCCACACTCGCCATGCCACTGACTTACCACACCGTACAGCACCAGCAGCCACGATGGCAGGTCTTAACTAGTCCGTTTGTGCAGAAATAGAGGGCAGGTGCTACACTAGTCTGTTTCTGCAGAAAGACAGGGCAGGTGCTATACTAGTCCGTTTGTGCAGAAAGGCAGGGCAGGTGCTATACTAGTCCGTTTGTGCAGAAAGAGAGGGCAGGTGCTATACTAGTCCGTTTCTGCAGAAAGAGGGCAGGTGCTATACTAGTCCGTTTCTGCAGAAAGAATGGGCAGGTGTTATACTAGTCTGTTTCTGCACAGAAGGGGCCAGCCCAGTACGACGGACATATTCCGCACACACTGGAAGCCTTTTCGCCGCGACTAATGTATGCACCCGGTCCAATACTTCACAGAAGAGTTGCAGTACTAAATCATAGTATCATTTGACATCATACTCTACCGTCCGGTCTCATAGTGTCATTTGGCGTCATACTTGATCGCACGGTATGGTATTTGGTACCTTTTGACACCATATCGGTTCCACATTAGGGTTCAGGGTTTAGAGGTTTCCACATTTGGTTGACTATCCAATACCTCACCTGCGGAGATAGTCCGCTAAGCCGTCCAACGCAAGGGCGCGCACAGCCAATGAGATCTCATCGCCTGCATGCACGCGATGCTTGTTTGTGTATGGCGTTTGCTCGGCATTGGGGTGGCCTAAATAGTGCAAGAATAGTAGGCAATTGGTGGGCAATCAGTGGGTGATAAGTGGCCAGTCAGTGGAAGATTAGTGGGCAATTGATGGGTGATTGGTGGGTAATTAGTGGAAGATTAGTGGGCATTTAATGGGTGATTGGTGGGAAATTAGTGGAAGACTAGTGGGCGACTAATGGGTGATTGGTGGGTAATTAGTGGGTGACTAGTAGGAAAATAGCGGGTGCGGGTGCAAGTTTGGACACTGGTAAGGGAATTGGGACACTTTCCAATCTAAGCTGCTGATTCCGTAGATGGTTGTATACTTTTGCGGGTACTCGAGGGCTCTCTCTGAGCCCTGCTTGCTCTCGGAGAGATCGTGTACTACACGTCTTCCCGCTAAAGAACGCGGGATCCGAAAGCAGCATTATTCAATGCCACATCAAGAAATCCTTCTTTAAAGCAGTATGGATATAAAGAGAAAGAAACTGATATGAAGGAACGACAAGAAACGGATCAAACAAATATAGCCGATATATCGAATAGAAGAAACTTCAGCAAATGCACTTAAAAACATCTACCACAACTGATAAGAGAAGCCAATCTGTACCATGCGTCTGTGGTAGTTACTAGTTTGCTGGTGTCTTAAACTGTGCTTGATACAACATCCGCACCAATCAGAATCCAAGCTATAAATAACGCACCAATCAGAATCAGACATAAATAAAGTGCGGATGACGATGTGCAATGCAAGGGCACAAGGGTGCATGGTGGTTAGCACAAGTGCTGGTCGGGTTGGTCTTCCGCAGATCAGCATGAAAGCGTGCGTGTTGATTGAGATCAGAGAGCATACGCACACTTCCCATTGCAGCTACACCCAGCTAACAACCACCGCACGTCCTGAATAGCTCACCTAGTGTTCTGGTCGCGTATTCTATACCTTCCACACAGCACACACTCCACGTTTAACCTCAATCCTAAACCCTAAAACATATACAACCCTAAAACACACCCTGGCCAGTCCCCTACCTGCATCGTATGGGCGCTTGTTCGTGTCTGCGTGTGTCTGGTCACCGTCTGCGGGTGTGTTGCTGAGGATCAGTGGGTGACCCCTCGTCTCCTCTGCACTGAGCCAAAGCGGTGTGTGCTCCGGCAGTGCTATACGGTGGCGGAAGGCGATGATGAAGTCAGACTCACTCGAGGCCACTTCACGGTCTCTGAGCACGGTTGGGTGGTGCAATGGGTCAGAGGAAGTGGGGGCGTAGGAGAAGGGAGGATCACTCAGCCATGACGCATGGGACAGGGTTTTAGGGTTTTAGGGTTTCAGTGTTTTAGGGTTGTAGTCAACTGAGGCAGAGAGGAATGGGCATTTGTTTCCATTGCACACACGGACAGTGTGATCGGGAAGTCGCGATCGAAACGTAAAACGCATTACGTATTGCCAGATATGCATTTCACAATACGCATGTGTGCACATGCGTTCACCGTATGAGTGCAACAACATACAGATTACTATACATGGCACTCGCACACACACACACACACACAAACACACACACACACACACACACACATGTGAGGTAACCACTCCACCCTATGTGAGATATGTTTGACAATGCTATACATATGTGAATATGCCCCTCATGTGCCTCACAGCATACTTGGTGAAGCGATGGAACTCAGCTTCCACGGCTATCTGTGCCCAGTTCTGTACTCTGCGCAGACACATCACCAGCACTCCCGTCACATTGGCTCCTAACAGTGCGATGAGTCATAAGGTGTGATGAGAAAAGGACACAAACCAGTTTCGGATTTAGGGTGTATAAAACAAAGCACACTCATATGTGAAATCACATGTGCATATAATTAAATAGCATAGACTGGTTCCAGAAGGTAATTTGAAACCAAACTTGCGGTATGTAGTACACAAATAGACGCCTTACAATGGCCGTGTATCAAGAGAATATATATATATATATGTGTGTGTGTGTGTGTGTGTA